GCACCCTGCTGCAGGTGCAGAGAGGCACGTCACTGTATACCGGCACCTTTGACGCGTTCTTTAAGATTCTGCGGGCTGAGGGTGTTCGAGGCCTTTATCGTGGCTTCATGGTCAACACCCTCACACTGATCTCAGGCCAGGCTTACATCACCACCTATGAGCTGGTGAGGAAGTATGTCTCCCAGTATTCTGATAACAATACGTTCAAGTCCCTGGTGGCGGGCGGCTCAGCCTCTCTGGTGGCTCAGAGCATTACTGTTCCTATAGATGTGGTCTCTCAGCAGCTGATGATGCAGGGCCAAGGGGAGCACCTCACCCGCTTTCGTCTCAATGCTGACAGTAAGAACTCAAAACAAATGTTCGGCCAAACCAGGACCATCATGTCTCAGATTTTTGCTGCTGATGGTTTCCGGGGCTTCTACAGGGGATATGTGGCATCTCTGCTCACCTATATCCCAAACAGTGCCGTCTGGTGGCCTTTTTATCATTTTTATGCTGGTAAGTGGCTGAAAAAATGTTTTCGCAACTATCATGCACAAAAAAGCTCTGTGCTGAGTGCACTTTCTCTAAATACTTGGTTTATGAGTATCAGTATGTCCCCAGTGAATGTGTCCGACTGCAGTTATAATGAATACAACAGTTCTTGCCTTGTTGTCAATCAAATATCTGTTTGTGTAATGTTTAACAGAGCAGCTCTCTAAACTGGCTCCCAGTGACTGCCCTCATCTGATTCTACAAGCCATGGCCGGACCTCTGGCTGCCGCTACTGCCTCAACTGTCACCAACCCAATGGACGTGGTCAGAGCCAGAGTGCAGGTACATTTCCTTTACTGTGGATCATCAGACAGTTTGACCCTGCTATATTGAATAACGATTCACTGAACACAAAATTCAGATTCTAATGTTTGAGATATGCCAATAGTTAAGCCATAAATGGCATGTTTGGCTTCACAAATCTGAATCGATGTAATTGAATGTACAACACCCAGTCCTAGGCAATAACAGTTTGTGGTTACAAATAATAACACATGTTTTTTAGGTTGAAGGGAGATCTTCTGTCATTGAGACGTTCAATCAGCTGATCAAAGAGGAGGGCTGTTGGGGGCTGACCAAAGGACTCTCCGCACGCATCATCTCGTCCACGCCCACTGCCATCGTCATGGTGGTCGGCTACGAGACGCTGAAAAAAATGAGTTTGCGACCGGAGCTGGTGGACTCGAGACATTGGTAGAAGAAATCTGCACTGATGACATATGGACCACGTGCCATTTTAGCCCTAATAAGACCTCATATAAAAACTATTTTAAAGAATAACCTGGGGAACAAAATGAAATCAGGCCACTTTTGAATCACAGCACCTGTGTGTCCGACATTAATTATGTGATCATTCAAACATATTACTTGAAGATGAAAAACCTTTCGGCCATTAACATTCACACCAGACCCAGGTTCAGTTTGTATTGCTGCTTAACATGGCTGGTGCTATTTAATGTACTTTAAAGGGGTGAATAACATGTTGCTTTTACACTGGAAGATGCAGACACATTTATCCAACTTTTAGACAATGGATTTTACACGCTTTACAATCAAGCTTCTTTGCGGTGGAGGAAAGTGATTCCTGTTTTTATCTTTGATAGTTTGTGTGACAGATTGCTGTTTGTGCTGTTGGGCATGCATACAAAAAAAGACTGGTTTTGATCAGGCTCCAGAGAAAGGTCATTTAATGTGTGATGACGCATTCACGTCAGAAGTAAACAGGTTTTCAAATTGCTTGTTTTCCTTCACTTTGTCACTGGCATCTATGTATATTTAATATAATTTTGCCTTCATAGTATATTTAAGATGCAAAATCTGCGTTTTGTTTTGTTGGATGTGCGAGAAGAAGAAGTGTGTTGTCGGTGTATTTAATAACTGTTGTTTTGTACGCTGCACAAACTGAGTCCAAGCAAAAGATTTGACAAATTCCACGCAAAACAGAAAAAATACATAGAGCACAATATTTGATCAGCCTTTTTGTAACATACTAATATGCTGGCTATTCGATATTGTAAAACATATTGCAATGATCGCGCTGGTCAATACATTATTTTGTGTACTGGTAGCTTCCAGGAATTGGAGAATGATTGAAGTTGTTTTGTGGAATATTCTAAATGTGTTATCCTTTTCGGCACAAAATGTGATAGTGTATTACTTGTACATTGTGTGAATAACGTGATAAAGGAATGCATTATACCTTATTTATTTTCATTATGTATTTGGCGTTTATAACCACAGAAGTGTTCAACTTTCAAATGGGGCGGTTTAGTTTCAAGGCAAATTCCTTTACCTGCGTTTGTTTAAAATGAAGCCCTGAACATCCCGTAATGTCTTCTGAAGTTATATATAAATCTGCTCCTAGGCCATGCCAAGATGCAACACCCAATGAACTCTAAAGTCGGCAAACCTTGTTTGGAAAAGAGAATCCTCTCTAATAATTTGACTAAAGTCTGGAATTTATTTGCACAACTTTCTGTAATTCAAAGTGTGATTTCAGAGATTAACCTGTTGTCAACTGTCTTGTAAAGATTTCACATTGCTTGTCATCTCATCATGTCGTGGCTATTTGGTTGATTAAACTTAACTGCTTAACAAAAAGTCGCTGATTATTTACACATGTTCAAACATAAAGCTAACGAACATTTTCTGCTTTTTCAAATTCGTATTTTTCCTTGATGGATTTGATAAAGAATTAAGATAATTCCAATCTGCAATGTCATGTCAAGCTGTATCTGCTGTCATCTGCAGCCCAATGCAGGAGTTTAGGAGCCCAACTAAAGCATGAAAAACACTTTTTTGAAGCCAATAGCTATCTCAGCATTTCAGTGTTTAAAGTCACATTTTGGGAGGATAAATTGTAATCGTAGGGAGGTTCTTTTTGTGATATAACATTTTGAAGAGTTGACTATTGTTCATTTTGTTGCCCTCAGGGAGTACCTTTTTGCATTTAAGAAGCTCAGGGAGAAAAAATGGGAGCAGGTGAGTGATGCTTTTCATTGATGTTCTCATAACTGTGGGGCGTCCATAAGTTTTATTGAAGGTGACACTGACGCCAAAGGTCATCTGTCATGTTATGTAATGAGGTGAAAGAATCGACTGAGGCTGATTTTGCTGTAAGGATGGCCCTGCAACATTTAGTATTGGTACCATTCTTCAAGCAATTTAAAATGAAAGAAAACATTTGATGATCAATACAATTTAAGGATGCTGGTGCTTGTTGTAATATTATATACTTTTTCTTAAACATTTACAAAACCGTCAATATTTTTAAAAAGTTATATTTTTTGTTTGTCATTGCAAAGATTTTCTTAATTTTTCAAAAATGGTGGTGAATAAAACTTACAAAATATAAATCTATTAATTAAGTGGAGATATTACTGCAGAGTAAACACATATAACCTATGACATATGGTGATACATTTAAAGGAAGATTTCATAACCAACATTAATATTTAACATCCTAATTTCTGGATGGCAGCAGAAACATGCCCCTACATTTGAAGATGCTTGCACCAAATCTAACTTTTGCCACCGGAGACCGGACAAATCTCCTGATGAATGAAACAAACAGGCTGACGGACCATGGTGGGATGACGGAGTGCTCCCTGCTCTGCATTCATTATCAGCCAGTGTCTGGAAGGCACTTTGTCAGAAAGATGGATGAGGGGCTGTCAGAGAGGAAACAAATCTGAGCTGGTCGGGGTTAGAGGAAGGGCCTCTCATCCTCAAGGGATGTGACAGTGGTAGACGTGCAAGTGTGTGTGTGCGTGTGTGTGTGTGTGTGTGGAGAATAAAAGGTGGGATAGAGTGTAGGCAATATAGAGTGCTTTGAAAAGCAGCAAAGGACAAAGACGTTTTAGAAAGGTGATTGAATTATCTATGCCTTTAAATATCAACTATAGAACATTAATCCAGCCTCCTCATTTCAAAAGTATTATAAAAGATGTCTTCACTTTTTGTCTTCACTCCTGATTTCATAAGCAAATAAATGGAAGATAAAATCCATTTGCTTCATGCTAAATGTATTTTTCCAATAACAAAAGGCTTCTGCAGTCAATCTGAGTTACACAAATCAACTATCTTCTCTTCAACTTTGTAAAAAAAGACCATAACTTTAGAAAATGCCAAAATGAATCTAACTCAGACTGTTTAACTTCGGCATAACTACACATTTTAATCATGATTACATTGAAATCACTTTAGCAATGGATCTCTTCAAATCATAACAACAGCAAGTGAAGTGACCAAAAACGCCGGTGTTAATGTACAAAGGAAAAACAAGTATTTTTTAAGGTGTACTTTAAGAACAATATGAACTTATCCTTTCAGTATCAGCTGAATACATGACTGCACAACAAAACCTTTCCTTTATGATCGTTTATTGCTTTACATTAAGGGTAGATCCAACACACATTACAATAATACATGTGTTTGAACAACAAACAAACTAAAACTGTACTGCATTTCTTTGTGATTTCCTCCTCCCAGTGGGGGTGAATGGAATTGGTATCAAATTTAAACTACTTTGAAATTAAATTAACTCAATGTAGGTGCAATATATTTTCTCCACCACACTACACATTTTGTATAAAAGGAAGAGAGAATATAATCCTTTTTGGTGGATAAATATACATAAAAGGCAAAGTGGGAACATTTGTATAAAAACAAATTTTAGTTAAATAAATATTTGTGTAAATACTTTATTAAGTTCCACTAAATCTCAGTCGGATCAGATGAAGAGACATCAAGAACATTCAACTGAACCACAATTTGTGCACAATTATTCTATTCTCTAATGAGAATAAACCATTTACAATGTGTGTGTGTGTGTGTGTGTGTGTGTGTGTGTGTGTGTGTGTGTGTGTGTGTGTGTGTGTGTGTGTGTATGTGTGGGAGAGGAGGCTAAGGTGGAGGGGGAATGGGGTCTGCTACGTGGGATCATTGCACACAGGGAGGAGAGGGAGGGAGAGAGGGAGGGAGAGAAAGAAAGAGCCTGAAGAGAAAGGGTGCGGAGGAGACAGACGACAGGAGACGAAACGCTGAGACACATCCAGAACCCCACAAGAAAAAATGCCCAATTTTGCAGGCACCTGGAAAATGAAAAGCAGCGAGAATTTCGAAGATTTGCTAAAAGCTCTGGGTGAGGATAATTTTCTCTTTTTCTATGAATGTTTGATTGCATTTTAGTTTTAGGTTTCTGAAATGATGTATTGACTGAACAGGAAGGAGGTCTATTGTTAAAAAACAGAAGAAAAAAAATTCAAACTTGAGGTACAGATTGGAGATTATACTTTTTGTAAGAGTCTTAACAAAATAACTGATTGATCAAAAAAGGTACAATTAAAGATGATGTTTTTCCCACCACGGTCCAACAATCCAATGTCTAAATACCTAATTTCAGCTTGATCATAGGCAGGTTAGGCTGCTGTTTAAATTGCTTTTATATGGTTGCAAAAGACAATATTTACCACCGGCGCTGCTTGTTCCAAAGTGGAGGACAACTGGTTTTAATTACAGGAGGAGAGAACATGAACTCCAAGAAGGATGGATGGGAAACGGACTGAAGCGTTACCTCATCTGATTGTTTTCACTGTAATGTGTGACAGGAAGGGTTAATAGCTTTTCCGCTGTTTGGAGGACAGAATCTATCATGAGGTACAGGAGAGCCAAACAAAGCAGCATTCCTCCCCCTCATCACCTTGTCACTGCAGCCTCCATATTTGCAACATCTGCTGATAACAATCTCAAGACCCTTTTTTAAAATATGAAAACCCACTGCCTTATACTGTACTGTGAAATCTTCTCCTGACAACTAATAAAGGGTTAGTTTGAACTCAGATTGATGACTATCTGTATGCATTCCTTTGTTAAATAGGCCAAGTTTCACATCTGTAACATTAACTCAAGAGATATTTTTCTCCCCATGTCTTTGGCGCCAGAGGCAGACAGAAAAATGTGACGTGACACAACTCAATATCAAGTGATAAAATACGGACAAAGTAGTTCTGAGCGGTTAAAGTTGGGATCAAAGTGGTTTTGTACGTCAGGGTCTTAGCCTCCACAGACTGATCAGCCCTGTGTAGTATTCACACTGTAGCTCTGTGTGTGTTCTCAGGAGTGAACGCAATGCTGAGGAAGGTGGCGGTGGCGGCTGCGTCCAAGCCCCATGTGGAGATAAGGCAGAACGATGAGCACTTCTACATCAAGACATCCACCACCGTCCGCACCACGGAGATCAACTTCCTCATGGGAGAGGAGTTTAATGAGGAGACGTTGGATGGCAGAAAGTGTAAGGTAATCTGATTGATCAGTACATGATTAACTTTCTATCAATGTACATGTCTCCTCCTCTTAAATGAATGTGTAGCTTTTTGTTTTAAGTATTGGGGTTTCCAACTGGACCACAAAACCTCGCTCTGGAATGTTCTAAACTAAAATAATCTAAATATTTAACTTCACTATCATTGAGGGATAATTAAAGTTTGACACAAAAAAAAGAATTAACCAACAATACTCAAGTCGGTGAAAGTTAAAAAGGACATCTTATGAAATGGGGAGACTTGAAGGAGACAGATTTTTAAAAGAATGGTGGAAATAAAACCGAAGAGGATTAGGGAGCCTGACTTGTATCCTTAATATGAGCACAAAGAAAAAGCAAACGTGGTGTTGTATTCCTTGTGATAAGTAACCAGAACTTTATGAGTGCAATTTGTTTTATTAGTGCACCCTTAAGCATTATATTATACTAAAATGTAGGGCTGCAAGGAACAAGCTAAAAACGAACCAGATCAATCTGAAAAGTATTATTATTCAGGGTAAAACATGCAAAAAGAATCCCTGAAGACTGACTAGTGATTAACACACAGTCTGTAAATCGGCTAAGATTGAGGAAATAAATATAGGTAACCTCATGAAAGTGCGGCTTTTTCTACAGAGCTTGGCCACTTGGGAAACAGAAAACAAGATGTACTGCAAACAGACTCTACTGAGCGGGAACGGCCCGAAGACCTTCTGGACCCGAGAACTCAATGGGGATGAACTCATACTGGTGAGCAGTTCTATTTATTTTAATTGACTATAATTGAAATATGGGTGAGAAGTAAGAGAGTGCTACATGCAGATGTTGACTCAAATTAATCAAGTGTATAAAGCATTTATGGGTCCACATGTGTCTTCATGATCAGCCCCTTTTTTCTAAAAAGCAAATAGTTCTCTGTGTTTTCTTTTATAAAAGTTGTGGCTCCCAAATGCTCTCCTCCCATCAGCCTGGAGACGGATGTGGATTCAATGACTCCAATTTTCATAAAAAATCTCCCATCAGATAGATGAACAGATGTTTTGAAAGTGGGATGAGGTGTCAGGTTTGGTCGCTGTCTTTAAATACATGGGCCATTTCCTGTTTCTACATCTCTGTCTGCCAATAAGAAATCAAGGGATTGCTTAAACAGATAGTCCTCAATTAGTTTTTTTTTTAAAAACACTGTTGCTTTGTAGCATATCCTTTTTGAATAGTTTCACATTTTGGCTTATTCAAAGTTGTTTGGGCCAAAGTTAAAAGGAAAGGTCGATAACCTACCTCTCATATCTATACATCAAAAGGACAGCCAGAAGCTGGTTAGCCTAGCTTAGCATAAATACTTAGAACGTGGAACAAACACGGCCTCACAAATGAGATTTATTTTTGAATAAAGCAGCCTGAACTTAAGGAACTTGTAATATACTTCAGGCGGATATAACACACAATCACAGCACAAGCAGAAACCAAAACTAGAGAGATGGTCAAGACAGGCCATAACTGGGTGGTGACACCAGATGTGAAATGTGAAACAATCTGGTCAATAATTTACCCAAAAAACTACGTAGTTCCTTGAAAATGTTCTGAACTCCCATGGCCATTTTGAAACACCGTTTGTATTTCCTTCTTCTGCCAAATGAGGGTGTGAATAAACATGCCTGCATCTGTGAGGCAGCACATTATCATGATGCATTGTTTCTTACATTTCATTATTTGTTCACATCAAGGAAATATGAACTAAATATATCTATTTAAGTTCATATTAAAAGAGGTTTTTTTAACATGTAGACCATGTAGGCTGAGAGCAGGTGAAGTATTTGTTACAGCAAGGCAGATTCAGGGGATCCACGGAGAAACCTAGTCTAGATTTCAAAGGAATACACTAACAGTTCACTGCCTCACAAATGATGTTGGACTGCACTCAATGATATTGCACACATCAGAAACACGTCAGCCTGTAAATTCAAGACCACTAAGTCAAAGAGGTTTAGTTCCTGTAAACATCTGGGTCTGCTTGGATTTATTGGCCAGCTGGTCAACAAAGTCCAGTTTGTCTGTGATGGACTCACCTCTGCAGAGAGGCACTCACAAAAACATTTGAGAGGGGCTGTAATTTAGGCTGAAGGCAGGTTTCCAAACTGGGAACAAACGTTTTGAACCGCACCAAATCTGTTTTTATTTAAGATAAGGGTGTGGACGTCTGTCTATCCATGTTGGAGTGATGGAATGTAATCTGATCGGCATGTGGGGTTGAATCATTGGGAAAAAAAGTTTCATAGGAAAAGAGAACAAGTTATAATACCACCGGTGTGGGAGAGGTCCGATATATATTCCCTGCTGGTTTGTAATTAAACGAAAATCCCTCATATTACATCCAAACTAATGCATTGTTTGGATTTTTTTATTTGAACGATGTTAAAGCAAAGATGTTTGGCTCTAAGGCGATCCAGACTGTGAAATATTTTATATTGACGTCAGTAGATGTACACATAACTCATTTATTAATAAAACTAAATAATGAGTATTAGTTTAACAGGTTCTGTAATATTCTGCAAACAAAAGTTTTGGTTTTACTATGCCTCAGCAACACAAGTTAAATATACTGCTGAATGCTGAGGGGGGGTGATGACAGATGGGTTACTTTGCACGCAGATACTTATGTTTAAGTCACTATATTGTTGCTGGGATCAGATCATAAATTGCACAACACAAAATGATATTACATACTGCACCGAATTCAAGGTAATTTATGCTAACAGTTATTTAAATGTAGTCTTAGAAAGCCTACATGGTTTAGTCATTTTGTATTCAGCCTGTCACATCACTTCCAAAGACTAGAAGCACATGTCAAAGAAGAAGAGATGTAGGGAGATTAGGATGATTGTTTACCCAGTTAAATTAGACTTCATTGGTCATGTTGTCAGTATGAACATAGACAACACAGAATGACTAAATAGTAAAACAGTGGCACAATGGTAACTGCAAAGTTTAAACTCCACTGGTTGGTTGGAGTAGTCCAAAACTTCCGTCAGAACATGAACTACAAATGTAACACTTGTTTCATTTCTCAACTATAATGATTGTAGACCCGTTTACATTATTATGAGATTTATTTTGGAGATAAAATCTATTAGCAACCGTTGCTGCGTGGTAGTTATGCCCATTCATCAGGGATATAAAACATCACGTCTTCTACCAACAAGATGTCCATCTCCTCTCAGTGTACAGAGGCATGTGGCTCAGTACAGAATAAAAAGCACATTCAGTCGAATAAAAGCACTGTCCAGCAGATGAGAGCATGAGGGTCCCAGGGGGAGATGGATGGATGAGGGGCTTAATGAAGACAACATGGCGCTGCTCACTGCACTCGAAGAAGGGCACAAAGATCATTCGGCGAGTCTACAGTAAAAAGTAGAATAAATACTTGTCCATGCGAGGAACCTCATATACTTTCTTTTTTATACATTTCAATCCAATAAATATCGATTTTTTTAAAAGATTAATACAGCCGTGCACTTGCGACTTTATGATGGGACTGGAGCCAGATGAGATTGTGTGGCTGTGATTTAGTCGGGGGTCCAGATCTGTGTGTGTGTGTGTGTGTGTGTGTGTGTGTGTGTGTGTGTCCTCGAATGGGCTTTAATTGGTCTCATTGATCTTGCTCTTGAGAAATGCCAATGGACCCTGGTGTTACCTCCAGTTAATGTCTCCCTCGGCATCTCGCCACGTGCCAGATGGAGTCGTCTGGGCTTCATTTGTCACATCCTGCCCTGTTTCCCCGTGCCGCCACACAGCATGAGATAATGATAATGTGCGCAGTGCAGTTGGCCATAGTGCTTTGCCCCTGGGACTTCCATACATCTTTATCCTTGGAAACATAAACCCCATAACCCACAGCATGCAATGTTTTTCTCCCCATTCTCATATCAGCTTTTGTCCACCTGTTTCTTTAAGCAGACAGCTGATCCAAATGAAGATCACAATATGAACAGGCATTTAGGTCATTATTGGCGAAAGAGCATCATACGAGTGCTTTAAAAATACATTTAGGGACTACAACACAATGAAAATGAAGCTTTTTATAATGTGGTGTAGAGGGACAATTACTTCAACTGCCATTTGTACAACTGAAAGACTTCACGAAACTAGAAAACTGTTTTCACTAGATGATGGTCATGTTGTTTTATATACTTAGAGTCAATGCTGGAATGCTACAAACTATTGTACTGAAGAACAATTTTTAGTTATATTTTCCAAATCAATGTAACATGCATCAATGATAAATGCAATACTAATTTACCCAGTAGTAAACAAAGTATTAAATACAAAATACAATATTAAAAGGCTCTTACATTATTGGCAAATGTAAATTATAAATGTAAGATTCTGTGTGTACAGTGTTGACATATACAGTAAGAATTTAATTACTTGATATTTAAGTAATTTTTGCAATTACCTTTGACTTTAAGTAGTATAAGAATTTTACTTAAAGGTCTCCTATTATACTTCTTTTCAACAATATATTATAGTTCTCAGATATATACGAAACATGTCTCTGAAGTGTTTGGCTCGAAATACCAAACAGATCGTGCATTGTAGCATCCCATAAACCTCTGTTTCAGAAGTGCTGATTCTGTGTCTGTATCTTTAAATGCTAATGAGCTGCTGCTGGCCACGCCCCTCTGAGAGATGATTGGTTAAAAGAACACAATGGTGCTCTAGGAGGAGATTCAGGTGATAAAGTGGACGAGTGTTACCAGCTGATTTCAAGGGTGGTTCCGGACAACAACAAAAAGAAGGAGAATCTTTTTTCCTGTGACTTTCTGAGACACACTGGCGACACATATTTATGTATAAACAAGACATGAAAAAGTGTATTTTGCATAATAGGTGACCTTTCTGTTGTCTTATTATTAAGTGTTAATGATGATGTAAAGCACTTTGAATTTCCTCTGTGTCTGAAAATGTGGTATATAAATAAACTTACCGCACCTTTCCTTTCCTTTAAGTATAAAAAGACTGACTTGCCTGTTAATAAGGAAACCTCAGACACCCCCCAGGTGAAGGCACTAGGCAGAGGCACTAATATCAGAGCAGTCTAAACTTGGCTGTGTAAGTGCTCTCAAAGTAAGAAAAAGGTCTGATGATAAACTTTACTGAAGCAACAAGAGACTGCTGATGATGACGATGTTAATCAGATTTCTTTTTTCTGTCTTCAATCTCGTTTCAGACTTTCGGAGCCGATGATGTGGTGTGCACGCGCATCTACGTACGTGCATAGCAGAAGTCCACAAGTTCAAATATCCTCAACAATTGGTGTTTTAATGTCTGAGCTGTCAGTGTGAGAAATTTCACATAAAATCAACATTTTCTAATTATCTGTTTAGACATTCAGTGTTTACCATCTTCACAAAAGTCACAATTTCAGATGTTACCGTTTTATAAATTTTTGTATGCAATTTTCTAGCATTGGAAATCGAACAAATTATCTTTTGGTTGTTGTGTTAAAGAGTGTAAACTTTTGTAAATGTAGAAAAGTCCAAAAGACAGATATATCACCTGATGAAGAACTTACGGGTTGACCTTTTTCTTTAAAAAAAAAGAAACAAGTGGCCCATATCATAAAAACGCTGTCAAGAATAAAAAAGAAGGTGGTCAACTAGATTTCTTACTATTTAACGTATAGTTTAATGCCCAACACCATACTAACACTCATGTACAACATCATAAAAGTCCAGACACATTAAAATGAAGTACGAACAATGTCTTTATGTACAATCATTTCCCCAAAACTTTCTGTGGTATTCCATATTAAAACATAGTAAATATAAAAACCCAAGTAATAAACTGTTCCAAGATTGTCTGTAGCTGTTTATGTTACTGACCATTGCCTTTAATGAAGGAATCATTTTAGTCAGGCTGCTTCATTTTAAGTATTGGAGCAAATCTGTGCCGACTTAATGAGCTTTTGGTGCTTCCAACCTGCTTATGTTATGATGATGTGAAGATAACAAGTATAGCGTTGATGTTAAGAACAGCGTGTTGCTTATATGTTAATTTGTGAAACACGTTTAACGGTATTTAGCATGATGGATAGCTTCCCGTCTCCATCTAACATATCGACAGGGCCAATTCCAGTTTTATTGAATAAACTGCGGGAATAAAAATCATTAGTTTACATCCCTCTTTCAAAGGGAATACAACATTCACGTTTGTATTTCAGCAAGAAATGCAAAACGTATAGCTTTGATGAACTGCGTCTCAAGGAAATATTATTGCTTGCTTGTTACAATGATCCATAAAGTGTTCACACGTCTGACATTCACATAGAGCTACTATACATCAGTCAGTGTTTGTCACCAACAAAGGGCATACAAAATAAACACGGCTCATGTACAGTTTTATAGGCGACATATCGACCCTGTCATACTGATTATAACCATTTCATAAAGTTTAAATACCAGGAAAGGTTGATAGCATCGAGTAGACCTCAGTACTTTGAAAAAGGACATACAGTGGGGCAAAAAAGTATTTAGTCAGCCACCAATTGTGCAAGTTCTCCCACTTAAAAAGATGAGAGGCCTGTCATTTTCATCCTAGGTATACCTCAACTATGAGAGACAAAATGAGAAGAAAAAAAATCCAGAAAATCACATTGTCTGATTTTTAAAAGCATTTATTTGCAAATTATGGTGGAAAATAAGTATTTGGTCACCTACAAACAAACAAGATCAAGACCTCTCTCACAGACCTGTAACTTCTTCTTTAAGAGCCTCCTCTGTCCTCCACTTGTTAACTGTATTAATGGCACCTGTTTGAACTCGTTATCAGTATAAAAGACACCTGTCCACAACCTCAAACAGTCAAACTCCAAACTCCACTATGGCCATGACCAAAGAGCTGTCAAAGGACACCAGAAACAAAATTGTAGACCTGCACCAGGCTGGGAAGACTGAATCTGCAATAGGTAAGCAGCTTGGTGTGAACAAATCTACTGTGGGAGCAATTATTAGAAAATAGAAGACATAAAAGACCACTGATAATCTCCCTCGATCTGGGGCTCCACGCAAGATCTCACCCCGTGGGGTCAAAATGATCACAAGAACGGTGAGCAAAAATCCCAGAACCACACGGGGGGACCTAGTCAATGACCTGCAGAGAGCTGGGACCAAAGTAACAAAGGCTACCATCAGTAACACACTACGCCGCTAGGGACTCAAATCCTGCAGTGCCAGACGTGTCCCCCTGCTTAAGCCAGTACATGTCCAGGCCCGTCTGAAGTTTGCTAGAGAGCATTTAGATGATCCAGAAGAGGATTGGGAGAATGTCATATGGTCAGATGAAACCAAAATAGAACTTTTTGGTAAAAACTCAACAAGACATGTTTGGAGGAGAAAGAATGCTGAGTTGCATCCAAAGAACACCATACCTACTGTGAAACATGGGGGTGGAAACATCATGCTTTGGGGCTGTTTTTCTGCAAAGGGACCAGGACGACTGATCCGTGTAAAGGAAAAAATGAATGGGGCCATGTATCGTGAGATTTTGAGTGACAACCTCCTTCCATCAGCAAGGACATTGAAGATTAAACGTGGCTGGGTCTTTCAGCATGACAATGATCCCAAACACACCGCCCGGGCAACGAAGGAGTGGCTTCGTAAGAAGCATTTCAAGGTCCTGGAGTGGCCTAGCCAGTCTCCAGATCTCAACCCCATAGAAAATCTTTGGAGGGAGTTGAAAGTCCGTGTTGCCCAGCGACAGCCCCAAAACATCACTGCTCTAGAGGAGATCTGCATGGAGGAATGGGCCAAAATACCAGCAACAGTGTGTGAAAACCTTGTGAAGACTTACAGAAAAGGTTTGACCTCTGTCATTGCCAACAAAGGGTATATAACAAAGTATTGAGATTAACTTTTGTTATTGACCATAATTTGCAAATACATTCTTTAAAAATCAGACCATGTGATTTTCTGGATTTTTTTTTCTCATTTGTCTCTCATAGTTGAGGTATACCTAGGATGAAAATTACAGGCCTCTCATCTTTTTAAGTCGGAGAACTTGCACAATTGGTGGCTGACTAAATACTTTTTTACCCCACTGTATACTGTACTTTCAGAAATGAGAAATGCTGCTCCGCTACATTCAATCATCTTCAAACCACGAGTGATACTGATACCAGAGACTGAAGGTAGAAATGCAAATAACGGGGTAGAAACACGTATAAAATGGGAAATTCTTCTACTCAAAGACTTTAGGAATTACACGTTCAACAGACCAAAAACGAAAAGGTCTCCAATTAACATCCTTTGGTAAAAAACAGTTCAGCAAACTTTAGCTAAAGACTGATACCAAATGTGTGTTAAAGTACGCTACACGTTAAAACAAATCTAGATATAAACAACATATTTACAAAGTGTTGGGCGGTCATAAATTACTTTACGCAATATACACTGCTGGCATTGTAAAGATGTCGAGCATCTACCCAGCAGTCACCAGAGATGTTGAATGTACAGTTTATACTGTATATATATATATATATATATATATTACCACTAAAGAAGGAAAACATTCAAAGGCTATACAAGTTAACAGCTGGAAGCCAGATTACTGCCCAAGTATCAGGTACTTGTTAAGTAAATTATCTTTAACATTGTTTAGTCTAGTTTTGC